GCTTGCTTGCTTGCTTGCTTGCTTGCTTGCTTGCTGGCTGGCTGGCTGGCTGGCTGGCTGGCTGGCTGGCTGGCTGGCTGGCTGGCTGGCTGGCTGGCTGGCTGGCTGGCTGGCTGGCTGGCTGGCTGGCTGGCTTGCTTGCTTGCTTGCTTGCTTGCTTGCTTGCTTGCTTGCTTGCTTGCTTGCTTGCTTGTGCGTGTTGCATTTTTCCTTTGGCACCTTGGGCACCCGATCTTGTTTTGGATATGTCAAGGGCGAGGCGCTTTCTGAAAACATGAGTTTCTGAAAACAGGAGTATCCCGTCTCCGCCCTTCTTCACCTCCTCCCAAACATCGCTTCTTGGACGTAACTTTGGGTAGGTGGTTTCTTTGTTGGTGCGTTGATGTTCCAGGAGCAAAGGCAGAGATCCCCCCCTCCGTCCCTTTCAGAACCCAACCGCCGGCAGGCGGCGCCTCCGCGCGCGGTTTCGGAGGAGGACCCGCTGCGCCTAGCGCTGCCGTCGGGCGCGGTGCACTACGTGGCGGAGGAGGAGGGCCTGCGGCACCTGGAGGGGGTGCTGCGCGAGAGGCTGGCGGTGGGGGTTGGGGCTTTGGGGTTGGCAGGGGGCTTGTCCTCCTGGCTGAGCTTGGCTGGGGCTTGAGGGGGTTAGGGCCTGAGAGCACGCTTCTTTTCGCGCGGCTGCGGTGCATCTCCTTCTTATTCGTGGTTTTTTCGGGTTTGGCAAGCTGAGATTTGTGGCATGGAGCCTGGGGGTGCCTCCCTTCGATGGAGGCTTCGTGGGTCTGCGGACCTGGACCCGGGCGAGACCGTGACGCCCGTCCTGCCGGTGATCGGCAGCTCGGAGGTGACTGAGGTGGCAAAGGGACTTGGTAGGTTGCAACCATGGTTGTTGTGTTGATCCTATTTTGGTTAACCTTTTCACCATGGCAACTTTGAATCCTACCGAGAAACATTCAAGAAAGCGGAAGGACAAGTTCTCGCAAAACGGCTCCCCGGCCATTTCTGTTCAGTCCCGAGCTCCGAGCTCCGAGCTCCGAGCTCCGAGCTCCGAGCTCCGAGCTCCGAGCCCCGAGCTCCGAGGCCTGGACGCAGAGTGGCGGCCCAACACCGAGGGCATCGCCCTGCTGCAGCTGGCCTTCCGCCGCAGCGTGCCGCTCGGCTCCGCGCATGGGGGGCCTCCTACCCGCCAGAACCGCTCCCCGAGCCCTTCTCAAAGCGCTTCTCAGTTTCTAAGAACACCTTGAGGGGGGTTTTGGGTTCTTTTGGCCGGAGGTTCACTGAGATGATAGTTTCGAAGTTCTGATTTGGCAGTGAGTCTTCAGAAGCGCTGGCACGGCCCCATGCCTGACATCACAAAGCTCAAAAACGCCCTCCCCAAGACTTATTGGTTCCAAGAGCCTGTGAGGCGTAAGTCAGCTAGGCTCAACCAAGCTCACTTTATCAAGTCTTGACATCGAAAGCAGTTGCTGGTATGAGACCACTTGCCCGTTTGCCTGTTGGCAGCGAGTACCATGCTTTTGTTTTCCAAGTGACTCTGTGTCCCCGAGTAGGGGCCATTTTGCAGTGTAGCTGCTTTCCAAGGGAATGGGGCTTTGCAAGTCTTGGCAAAGGCCAGGATGCCCTAAGGTTCCTCCTGGACATGCTGGCGTTGACGAATGACCCGCAGCTGCGGAGCCGCCTGGAGACAGCGCTCCTGCCGGTTTTGGAGGCGGAGCACGTCTACAAGGCCAAGGGCTGAGGGCTTTGAGGCGGTGCCAACAACCGGACCTCTTGGGACATGTGCGAATCCGAGCAATTGTTGTTGTTGCTGTTTTCACTCGTGGCTGGAACCTACGCTTGCTATTGGTTCTGAAGCGTCTGATTTGACGGGTTTGCGCCGGGACCGTCTGGGAGGTTCGCGGGTTCGCCACCTTCAAACCCAGGTGGGCTTTGGCTTGGAGGAGGACCTGCATCGCTTGGGCCGGGCGCTGGAGGTGAGCCGGGCCCGCAGCGTCCTGGACCTGAGGCACGCGGGGCCTTTTGGACCTCTGAAAACTCAGACGACTTGTTGGTCTGAGCCTGGTGGCTCAGAGAAAAAGCCCGCAAGGTTCGAATACTTTTTTTTCCCCGCCTCGAGGCACTTGGCCCGGCTGGCGCTGCCGAATACGGAGGTGGCGCCGGGGTTGTCGGGCCTGGTGCGCCAGGTCTTCGGGCGCGGCCTCGACAAGACCTGCCAGGCAGGAAAGTTCACGATCCAATGGCTTCAGATGCGCTTTTGCCACTGATGTTGTTTTATGGCGAGGTGATGGTGAGCACAAAGTGACATCTGCCAGCGAGTGGGGCCGTGGGGCCGTGGGGCCCTGGCAGGTGTCCGACTGGCAAGCACGTCCGCTGAAGCAAGAGCAGCTGGACTACGCAGCTCAGGATGCCCATGTTTGCGTTCGTTTGTTTGATTCGCGCCTTGGCTCAAGGAGGGGAAGCAGGGTCCCTTGAAGGATGTGGTCGGTCCAGCCAAGGGATCAGTGCAAAGCAGGTGGATTTATCCTTTCAGGAACGCAGGGCGGAGAAACAACAGCAAGATGCAAAACCGATCAACGCCATCTTGCAACATACTTTCATACCCAGGCCGACGGTATGTTTTGCACCAGCTACTGCTGCCTCCTTTTGGGCATACCTTTTTTCGCTTGCTAACAGAGGCCCGGGACCTACATAAGATGTTCAAGTGTAAGTTGTTTTTTCTTTTTTGGGTTTTACCCCCGGCTGACCAACTTCAGGCTGGAGGAGGGTTTGGCCTCAACGAGGGGGTTGTTGGCGCTTTTGCTCATCAAGTCGCACACACACTTGCCGATTGCCCTCATTGGCTCTTTGGTTGAGAGAGGCCCGGGCCAAATGAACACCTCCTCATGTCTCTTATTCGCAGGGAATATTTTGTTTCCAAATTCTATTTCATGTTTGCGGGGAATTTCTGAAACACATTTAATCCCAAACTAATTGGAGTTAGCAGATAAATAAGTCGAAACAAATCAACGAATATAATATATATATATATAGAGAGTAAGCAATACAATTAACAATATGCTTAGATATAAATAAGCAAAGGGATACAGCTGAATAAAGAGCTAAGACAAGTAAAACAAATCGATAGAGCAAGGAATTGGCTGAGGCTCTGCTACAACCACGCCACCTTGGCCACCCAGTCGCTGGCGCCGGCGCTTAGCGGAGTCGCCAAAGCCTGGCGCGCCGAGAAAAGCCGCGCTGAGTCGTTGCTTGCTTCTTGCAGGTCTGGGTGTGGTGGGCAGGCGGGAAGTCGCCGAGTTGGGTTGACACCTTCCAAATACTCTCCAAATACACTCTCCAAATACTTGTTTTTTGTTCGTTTGCTTGTGGCTTTCGTGCCTAGTGTGGTGAAGCTGCTAGAATGGCAGGCAAGTTGGATGTTTCGGTGGTTGGGCGAGTGGCAGCTGGCAAGGGCACTGCCGTAATGTCAAGATTCACGTGCAATGATTCTCATAGGTGACACGTTTGAACCATTTGGGGATCCACCATGCTGAAGGGGGGAGGCTGACTATGACACGCCGGACCGAACTGAGGCCCGAGGACAAAGCTGCCAAGGGCGCCGCCCTGAGGTTTCCTCGCGGTTGCGCAGGGATTTGGCGGCTTTTGCAGTGGGTGGGTGCGTGGAGTCCGGAGTGGGGGTCAGAATCTTTCACACCGTTTCCAGCCCAAGTCTGACTGGATTCGGGCAACCAGGGAGCAGAGAGGCGGCGGGCAGATTTAAGAGGGGTTTGAATGAAATAAACACAAAACATCGCCCAGGCGAAGGGAGGGGCAAGGCTGAGGCCTCAAGTTTGGCTCAGACCAAGGGTTGTGAGCTTCTTGAGCCACGGGGATTCAAGGAAAGAGACAGCGAGGACGCGTCTAAAAGCTTGTGGGCTTAGGACTGCGCAATCAAGCCACTTCCGCCGTTGAGTTGTGAATGCCAAGTCGGGCCACGGCCGAAAGGGTCATTGAATCTGACTGCGCCGTGCCTGAGGGGCTTTGGAGGCCAAAGCCAGAGGCAGGGCCGCGGGTTTGGGGCAGACATGGGCTTTCTACGGCGGGTAGGGCTGCGCCTTGAACAACCCATTTGCCCTCAGGCACCTTCACCAGGATCCCTTCAAGCACACCTTGGGTCCATACAAGACATCCCCATTGCCAGATTAGAGAATCCCCTAGTCAAGTGGGTGGTTTTGGGATATATCCTTCAAGGAACCCGTTTCACGGGCACATCGCTGGGGAACCGTGCAGGTCGCCAGTCGGCATGTGGGGCATTGGCGCTATCTGGCGAAGGCCGAGGGCGAGTTCAGGAGCGGGAGCTCTAAACTTGGCACTTCCTGGACTGCTGTGATTCATGCTTCTCCAAAAGAAGGGGGAAGTTATGTTCAATTGGGTGGCCGCCTTGTTGTGGCGTTCCGGCTGCGCAGAGGTGTGTCGGCCGCTGCAGCCGCAGGTGTGAAGTCTGAAGTCAGAGCAATTCGCACCGTTTTTTTTTTTTTTTTCTTTTTTAGGGGGGTGGGGGGGGGGGGGGGTGGGGTTGTGTGTGAGGCGCCCTGTTGTGACTTAAACGCAGAACTCCAAGTTTGGGGCTCACCCAATCTTCCCATTTGCTATGAGTGCAGGATCCAACTGGACGAGCGCGGCTGGGCAGCCCAGACGCCGGCTGATCAAAACGCGGTTCGTCTTTGGTTCGAGCTTCAACTAGGTATCCTTTTGGGAATGATTGTCATCCCACTCACCAGCAAAGGGCTCAACTTCTTACTAGTCTTAGATTTGAGACATGCCTGGGTGAATTTCCCAGGGGAGGCCGGTGTCAGTGTCCATGGAAGTCAGCAGCCAACTGCGCACTACGCTTTGGTGTTCTTTCTTGTTCAGTTTGGCCGAAAACTTGAGAATGGCCCAGGCAATGTGCAAATCGCAAGCCGGAGATCTAAACGCCCCCGTTTGCTGTGCCTCGGTTTCTGGGCGTGCGCAGGTGCCTTGGTGCTTTGCCTGGCGGATGCCTCCGGCGTTCTGCTGCCCCAGGAGACCTGCTTTTTGAGGGGAGAACAAAGATGGCTTGCGGGGCTCCGTGCTAACCTGCAGAGTGCGGATGCGCTTGGGCTTGTCGAAGCGAAGCCAAAGCCCTCGAGGTCCCAAACTCAGCCTTCTGATACCCGTAGCGCATGAATCTCTGCTTCGCAAATGGTTCTAGGATCATTTTCTGTACCAGTGGGATCCCCATCTAGAGCGTAAAGTGACGCAGTGGGGGTCATTTTCCACGGCCTTGAGACATCAGGAGAAGCGCTGGCTTCAAGCCGAGTTGGCCACAGCCAGCGGTGAGGCTGGTTGTTCGTCGTTGGCTGTCTTTATTGCACCTGAGCTACCGCCACTTCGGACTTTTGTTGCCGCATGGCACTTGCTTTTGAATCCCATGCCGCGCGGGCAGTCAGCTGGCTCAGCCTTGTCACAGATGACTGCCATGCACACCCGGAGGCAGCAGGTGTTGCCAGAGTTCGCTTCAGCGAGAAGACTGAGAGCATGCAGTGCGCCCACTTGAAGCCCTCAAGTGGGAATGGTCTCAAGCTGGGTGCTAAGTAGTCCATAATTGGATTTTTCTACAAAAGGATGCCAAAAGCGAATGTGTATTCTCATTTTTCCAGCCCCGCCATGCTCAAAACATTCGACAGAGTTGATTCGCACACACCGCAAGATGGTGGATTCGTAGAACAGGTCTTAGCCAAGACTCACGTGGAACGCAAGGTATGTGCTCCCAATGGCAGAGGAGCCAACTGCTGCCTACAGGGTCATGAGCGCGCAGGAGGCCAGGGCGCTTTGTCTCGGCGGCTCCCGCAAAGGATTTGTCCAGACCGGGGCCGTTTTCCTTTGGAGCCGTTTTCAGCAAGGCGGAAGGACGCTTCAGGGCATCCACCATTGTCAATGGTGCCCACGCAATTTCCTTGAAAGGGGGAGGGTATCTTCAAACCTTACTTAAAAATGTATCCTTGCTACAACCCCCCTATTCATCAAGTTTGCAATTTGCAAAGTGTCTTCTCCTCGAAACATTCTTTCTCCTCGGGGCAATTAATGACAGTTTCACCAGCTCAGCTGAGACTGGATGAGGCCAGTTCCTCTTTCCCAAGCCCCGACCAGAGTGGCCTAGAGATTTGCCTTGTAGACGGTTCTCATGGGCATCACTTTTTGTTTGTTTTTTTTTGGCGGGAGGGTGCTGAGCATACTGGACATGCGCCGGAGCACGTTCCTTCTGGACAAAACAGGTGCAAGAGCCCCCTGGCTCGAGTGAGCAGCCGGCGTAATGGAGAGATCCAAATCAGCGGCGCACTGGATTGAGAAGTAGAAGTGCGCAATACGGCAAGCAAAACAAATTGCATCTGCCCTTGGCACAAGTGTTTGTTTAATGTGAAGTGCATCTCCTAAATTTTCTGAATGTTGCAAGTTCAGGCACGTGCTCGCATGATTACCGCTGCGGGTTGAGCACGATGGCCTCGGATGTCGCGTCCGTGGACGAAGTGGGCCGGGGGCCACTCTGGTTCGCCTGCCGCCTGGGCCGGGTGGAGGAAGTGGAAAAGCTGCTGGAAAGCAGGGCGGACCTGGAACAACAGGAGCGAATGGGAGGGACTTCATTGTCCGGGAAAGCTCCTGTCGTCTCACTCCTTGACTTTTCCGACAATTTTTTTGGGAGAACTGTTTTGGCAGGCGCGGCATCACAGCTCAGCTGACGCCCCTTGCAACACACGCATGCTGCCTGCTGCGAACCAGGTGTGCTATGGTCAAAACACACGCTCAGTTAGGGGGTGTTGTTTTAGCAGCGTTTTCGACGGCCAATCTCCCCACCAAAAAGGCCTCCGGCTGCATCAGACGCTCGCATTTGCCAGTGTTACCATGTGACAACCATTTTTCCAGCCTGCCTTAGTGTCTTGGGTGAATTTTCCGCTGGGGTATGATGTCTTGGGTTGGGATGTGTAGGAACCTTGGGGGGAAGCACACGTCACGGGATGAGGATCTGCTGGGCTGGCGGGCGCTGCACCTGGCGGCGTGCTTCGGGCACAAAGACGTGGTCCAGCGCCTGCTGGCCGCCAAAGCTCAGGCCTCCGGCAAGGATCTGGGTCTGTCCTTTTGGAGGGTCCCCGTTTCTTTTTGTTGGGGGAAGGGGGGTTAAAGGGCAAGCAAAAGGAAAACCACGATTTTGGAGGTCCGCCAGTGGACAATCTCCTTTGATAGTTGATTTGGAGGATCCTCTCTGGCAATGGAGTGCTGTGCAAGCAGCTTGCTCTTCCTGGGCCCCCGCATGGCTCTCAAATGGCGGAAACAATTGCCTTCACAAATGCAATGGTGTGAGTGTCACTTTCATGGCCCAGTATTCTCAAACAAAAAGGCAGGCTGCTCTCTGGGGTGGGCGGGGGTGGGGAGCAAAAAGTCGCTTCGAACATATAATGTGTTCAGAGGATGCCAACCCAAAAGACAGCGGTGTTTGATTGGCGTTTCGCTGGCAACCACCGCCAGAACGAGGTTCCAGGGCCGGGGACAATTGTTCTTTGGGAGAGGAAAGCCCTCAAAACGAAGGGCCACATGTTCACCTCAGTTTGATGGGTTTCATAAAACAGGGAAGTTATCAAATCAACCATCACTGCAAGGTTTAATGGTGGAAGGGGGTCATCCCCATATTCTTTACGGAGCAGGTTCCCGGGCTTTGGTGCAGCTCCCAGCAGTGGGTCATCGTCAAAGCACCTTGCATAATCGCTGTCGTGCGTGGACTGAAGGCCGATTGAGCTTAAACTTGGATCTTTGTTTTGCCGGTGTTCAATGCTTTCCAAAAGAACTTTTGCGTTGACGTGCCCCTCCCCCACATTTACGGAAAGTCGGCCAGGGGATGAATGTGACACATTGACGACTGCAAAGCATTGGCTGATTGCACACTCATGGCTACCTTCTTCGAAGGTCGCCTGTGGGGTTAGTCCTGGTCGGAATACGGCCATGCCAAAGCAGGAAACCAAGAAAAGCACATAGGAAAGCCAACAGGGAAACCAGCAAGGAAGCCGACGACAAGTTTCCCAAAAAGGGAAGCCAACGAGTTGACCTCCGTCGGGGGGGGCTCCGGCCGCCTCCGGCTTTTCGCTTCTCGCGGCGAGGTGGGGTCGCGGACCCGCGCCGGGCAGACGGCCGGGGGCCTGGCTCGGCGACAGGGCCACACGCTTCCAGGCTTGGAGCTGGAGGCGGGGAGCATTGCCCCAGGGCAACTAGGCCTGGGGTAAGGCGGGCAGTAAAAGAGAGCAGAAGTAGCGAGCGACCAAACTTGTGTGGGTGAGGGGGCGAAACACGGCTTTGTTGGCTGTTCTTGGGAGGCCTGCTGAACAAGGTAGAGTGCACTACGGGTCCACATAACCTGTGTGGTAAGATGGAAGTTCTATGGGTTTGGCTCAAACTAAACGGAAAACATAGGGACACTTGCAGGACGCTTTCCGATGTGTGTAGTGCAGGGTGAAAGACGTGATTGATCACTGTTTGTAAGTCTTGCTAGGCCAGCATGCTTTCATGGTTGCCTGGGGTGATGCTGTGTTTGATTTGTTGGGCTGTTGTTGAGAAGTAGTTCCAAGAAGGGAACCATGCTCTCACAGAAGTTGACTTGCTGTGCTCCTTAGACTTGAATTAGATAGCGTCCAGCAAGTGGATGCAATTTGGGCATGGGCTTCTGGCGCAACAACTCGAGGAACCTCCGAGCCAAAACCGGTGCTTGCGTAGAATGAGCTTGCGCCCCATGATGAAGGGTTTCCTTAGCTCAAGATATGGCATATAGTGTTCTTCTGGATCCTCCCCATGGAACTTGACTGAGCTCGAAGGGTGGGCGCCAGGCTTGCAGGTTCTCTGTCCGGGGTTCCCTTGAGGGGAACCCGCTGGGGATGCCTCGGGTTATGCGACTGCCTCATTCCCAGCCAGGGTCAGCCGTCTGAGTGTCCAGGCCGTCCCACGGCCACGGAGGGCGCCCGCGGCTACGGAGGAGCTGCGGAGGTGCCCTGAGGACGGGAAGATGCTCCTCGGTGGGGTTGCCCACAGGTGGTTGTTTCTGGTTTCCCCGTCTCTGTGTCCAAGCCAATAAAGAGATCAGTAAAGAACACGGATCAAGCACCACATACAATGTATACTCACATCCGTACGGAGGGACAGTTGGGTGCCCATTAATATTTCTTGGGTCCAGTCCTTTACGCACAGTTTTGTGCGAACCCCATGGGGTGCTACCGTCTTGGCGGGCCAATCATGCGGAATTCAATAACCCAGTTGAAAGGAGAGCAGTGGCATAAAAAGATATACGCGCGCGCACACCCACTCACCTACCTTGGGTTTGTGAGCGGTTTCTTCGCTGAAGCGGTTGCCCGCACCACCAGCCCCAGTTCCCAAAGGAAGCTGCACGGGGTTTGTCCCGCAGCTTGGTAGGGTATATCCTTGCTATCCTTGCGCCAGTTTGATCCAGGCCCCTCTTCGCTTTTTGTCTCGCAAGGTATAGCCTGGCCTCGCTGATTGAGGCCTTCGCGCACGAGCGCCGCCTCTTCACGGAGGAAGAGTGTAAGGAGTACTTCCTGAAGGCCGATAACGGGAACCCACTGGGATGGGCTGTTCAAGAAAGTAGAAACACATTTTCCACCGCCATTTCGTCTTAGCTGCTTCCTTTACCTAGGCACGAGGGGGGTCTCTTGACCCTTGTGAAGCGATTTGTGCTTGGGCTAGGAGATGCAGCGCCTGCCCGAGGACCATGCGGCGTGGCAGCTGCCGATGCTTCGTTTTGATGGCTCTTAGCCGACCGAACCGGAGGTGCTGATGCGAAACTCGCCGCGCGTTCCCGCATGGGGAGGGGAGGAAGCGAGGAGTCATCTGCAACTCGGCGAGCTTGGAGCTGCAGCAGGACGGGGTGGTCGGGCAACTGCCAAAGAAGGGAAGCACAGCTGCCGCGCAGACTTTGGGGGACTTCCGGTGGGAGGGTTTCTCGAAGTCCCTGCCCAAAGCGGTCAGAGCGGTCAGAGGAGCCACAGAAACCGCCTAGTTTAGACGAGAGCCGCAAATCGAACGCGGCAAAACAGCGCAGCAGTGCAGCGCAGGCGCATGAAGCCACAATCAAAACCCTGGTCGGTAAAGTTAGCAGGGGCAGCTATCCGCCCTTTGGCTTCTTTGCCAGGCTTTTGGTTGCTCTCTTCAGCCTTTTGAGTCTCATTCGCATGAAGTTGGATTCCATTTTGGCAGTTGCAGGGCGGGAACCCGACACCTTGCACTTTGGTGAGCTGGAGTCATGTGGGCAAGTCACTTAGTCAAGACTTGGGACTTCCCTACCCCCGCCGGGATGACAACGCGCTCAGACCCGGCAGGCCAACCGGGTCTGCGCCGAGGAGGCAGTGGCGCTTGCGAACAAAGCCTCAAGGCCCAGCCGCTGGGCACAAGCGGAAGCAAGGGCTTGCCAAGCGACGCCAATACAGGCTGTCCTGTCGGGGATGCGACGGGGGTGGTTGCCCAGCGATTCGCCCGGTACTTTTTTAGTGACTCGTGCTCCTGGCGAATTGCAAGGCATGCGGTCTCGGCACTTCCGTACAAATCGAAATGGCACGGCAAACTAGCGGTTGTGCTGTAGGTGCTGGACTAGCGGTTGTGCAGTCGCGTGCTGGAAAGATGAAGCATCTCGCTACATGGCAAGCCCTTAAGCCTTTCCGGGTGCGAGTCGGCCATTTAAACTGTCCCATTTGGACGGGTTCGGAATGGGGCTTTGAAGTTTAATGTTCTAAGGCAGCGCGCAAAAACAACAACCAACAAAATGCAAGAGAGAGAGAGAACGAGAGACACAAACAGCACGGCGTCTGCCATAGCCACGCCCTCGACTCGGGGAGTCAGGCTTTTGGACCGCGGCCTGGCGAGTGCTTGGGCCCAGAGGGTGCGTTGCTTGGGGCGTGCGTGGCGCGGCTGGCCGTTCCTTTGGCGCGTCCGTCGTGTGGCAGTTCGCGGAATGGGGTTTTGAAAGGATTTGTCTTTCCGATTTGATCTCAACGATTTCATGGGGCTTGGGGATTCAAGTTGGGGCAAGCCGATAGGCTAGAACAACCTACTGCTGTTATGCAACAGGGTCTCTCAAAAGATGCATTTGGGCCAGTCAAGCAATCACCTTTACCAGCCGATTTAGAGGATCGGTGGTTTTTCGATGAATCCTTCAAGGAACCCTGGTGCAAGCAGTCCCCTTGAAGCTCTTTTTGTTTTGTAGCCCCCTTGGTTCCAGCGCTTTCCAGGCGTGAGGCTCTTGGCTGTCGCCTGTCGTCGCCTTCGGTGCTTTGTGTGACAAATGGTGGATCTCAATGAGGATTCCTTTCAGATGTAGTCCCCTTTGCCGGACATCACTCACTCGGAGTCAGTCCCACGTTTTGAGGGCTCCCTATGAGGTTGGGTCAAACTTCCAGTAGCCTATGGCCAATTGGGACGTTGGGCTCACCAAGTTTTCACAGGCCAGGGGACACAACTCGCTTCTCCCATGTGCTTTGTGGTAGCCGCCTGGTAGCCGCATATTTTGACACTGTCTATGAACGTCCATCGGCAAGTTGTGGCTTGACCCCTCTTGGCTCAAGAGAAGCCAGAGCTGAGCTAAAAGACTCGGCAGGCTGAGCAGGCTGAGAGACTTGGGCCTGCAGCCATGAACGAATATGAGTGCCTTGGCAGGGGCAGACAGCATCTGCAAAGGGAAGGGGGATGGAAAATGGGTTCAGCACGTGCTGGGACCTCCGCGACCCTGCGTTGGTTTTTCCGCTCGCCAATGGCTTTTTTCAACTTGGCCGACGTGGCCGAGGTTCATTTACATGAAGAAGCGCAAGGACTTCGGCCGATACTGTAACTTCGATACGGTGGAGGCGCGGATTCAAGCATGAACTTAGCCCAAAGAAAGTCGCTGCGACCTACGCCAATACAATGGCTGGTTGGGAAAGCTTCCGTTCAGCTATTATTGGGGTCATATCAGGTGGATCTGACTTTCCAGGTCTAAGTCTGGCCCCTTTCTGCTTGGGTTGTGGCGATATCCCTGACAAATGCATAACTTCCATAGAGAATGATGTCAGCCCAAGTTGCATTCATACCGCATGTTGGTCAGGCTAGGCAGCCTCGAGCTTTCCAGGGTGGTCAAGTCTTGTTTCTGCCAGGCCAAGATTCTCGGGCAAGTGGAGAAGCAGCCCCAATGTGGCGACATGTACGTGGAGCAGACCATCATCAACGCTGCCGCCAGTCCGCAATGACGCTGTGCGTGGAAACGGCCCCCTTCCGTGTAAATTGTCAGGAAGCTTGTTTTTGGATGGGTTTCCCGGCGAATCACGAAGCCCCAACTTACAGGCACGCCCCGCTGCCGTATGCGGCAAGTGTGTCGGGGAGGTGGTTGTTCTGGTGTCTCGAACGCGCGCTGGCACGAGGTCTTTCACAACATCCCGGAGTTTTCCGAGCACTCGGTGAATACTGCGAGGGTGAAGACCCACGCGCGTGTCATGACACATGTGGAGGGCGGCTGGCCCAGGGAAATCGATTACAGTGAGGCGCAGGCGCGCAGGGCGCGGGTTTTTTTCATCCTCGAAGTGGCGATTCAGAATTTGCTTGGTCTCCCAGCCCCTGCAGTTGGGTGCGATTTGGCAGCTAATTGAAGCTTCCTATTTTCACGCCCCAGGTCTTCTGCAGCTTTGGTTGGAGCTCCTATTCAAGGTGACAGCTCTGAGCTTTTGGGTGTTTCAATGACCTAGGCTCGCTTGTTGGGTCTTGGGCTCATCTCGGGCCTCGTTCTGGGCGCTCTGGGCCAAGCGCTCGGAGCTCGCCAGGACACCCTGAAGTACCGCAAGCGTCTCGAGAAGGACCTTGGGGTGAGGTTCGGGCCCGGTGATTCGGGCAGGGGAGTCGGGTTTTCCAAGCCCAAGAGAAGAGTCCAATGGGCTGAAGGGTCTAACGTTTCCGATGCCTGAAGGTTTGGTTGGTTGGTTGGTGGGTCGGTCGGTCGGTTGGTTGGTTGGTTGGGGCGCAGGACCCGGGCTACATCAGTGCCGTGCGGCAGTTGACCAAGCAGACCATCCCCTGCTTAGAGATGACGCTGGGACAGTTACAGCCCTCAAAAACAAAGCATCACGTTTTCCCAGACCTCCAGGGCGTGTCCATTTTCTTCTGTTTTGGAGGGGGGGTCCCTTTTGGAATCAACTACCCCTCAAAAGGATGCCCGACTTTCTCATTTGGCCAATGTCAATTCCTGTTTGGAAGGCATTCTACCTGAAGCTTTAGATGGGGCTAATGCCCGTGTGTAGAGGATAGAGGAGAGGCATCTTGTTGCGCCAGATTGGGGCGTCTATGTGATGTATCAGTGAATCGGGGGGCTAGCCACTTATTCCGTTGCCCATCTCGTTTAAATGGCCTTTCGGCTGCTTTGTTCGGAACACCCAGCAGCCCCATGGGGCAGTAGCCACCAATAAAATCCAGCTTTGCTTCCTCCATAGCCCGGGGGGGGGAGGATGAGATGCAGGAGCCTGAATCGGTTTCACACGCCTTCACGCAGTTTGTGGGAAGCGACCTTCTGGGCATTAGCGCTCTTTGCAGGGGTTTCGAGCAAACTACAGGTGACACATGCCCCCCCTAGAAAACATGAAGCGGACAAGTTTTTTAGGCCTGGAATGGCCATTAGTGGCCCAGAATTCTTCGACCAGATGTAAGGAAACTTTCCGGACGTTCAGTTGTATTGACTTTCTCCCGCACTTTCAGGTTGAGACACGGGCGTTTGTGTTTCCGCCCATAGCAATTGGAATTCGAATGCTCGCCTCCGCAGCAGATCAGTCTGTACTTTCCCAGGAACAACACCATTGATCTCTTCGAGATCTACTTTCAGGAGGAGGAGCCCGACCACATGCCTGAGATTCTCAACTTGAAGACCATTGCGCTTTTCAAGGACAGACAGCCGTGCCAATCCAGAGCCAGGATGGTACCGAGCCATGGAAAGTGCAAGGGTGGATTGTGCTGCTGTTGAAAGCATGAGGGGCCATGATGACCCCGCCATCTCAGTGGAATTAGCAGTCAGCGCCAACAATGCATCACTGTTCTCTGTGAGGACCCCTCCGACGAAGCACGGAGCGTCACCAAGATCGGATGGCACCCTGAGGGGCCGACAAAACTCGTGGGCTCCTACTCCAACCTCCGGTTCCAGCGCCTCTTGGCTTCCCTTGCGGTCCATTGGGGTAATGGAAAACCAGTTTGCCGTTGGCCACCTTCTGTCAGGGTTTTGAGCCAAAACCCGCAGAATTCCTGAAACCACGGACTGGTCTCACAGATGCCTCAAGGCGGCGTAGAAAGCAAGGCTTGTGACGCCAACTGGCCGTCCGTGTGAAGAGAGCGGCCCCAAGCATTGGCCACATTCTTGAGCCAATCTTCTAGCACTTGAAAAGCCAAACAAACCAACACCGCCGCCCAAAACAGGCAAACCAACAAAGAACCGCGAAGCCACCGCCGAGGCATGTCCGAGGACATGCCCATGGCCTCCTTCATTTGGGACATCGCTGAGCGGAACGTGCCGCTCATGGAGCTACGTGCGACCTCGCCGCTGATCTGCTGCCAGTACAACCAGAAGAACCCAGACTGGCGGGGCGAAATCGGGGGGACTTGGGGGCAGGTGGGGGAGGGTGGGGGGAGTCTGGGACTTTTAGCATTAATTGTCAATTTCAAGGTGGAGTGAATCTAAACATGTGGTGTTTGGCTGGGGCAAATGTGGAGGTAGGAACGACCATGATTTCCGATTCCCACTTGCACGGTTGTTTCCGCAAAGGAAAGGCAAAAGCCTAGTGGGAAATTTGAGCAATTGGTTCGGGGAAGGTCCTGGGGGTTGCTCCGTTGGGCAGCAAGTTAAATGATGGGCATGCCCTGTTCTCGTGGGTAAGTCCCCTCCAATTGCACGGCTGGTTCTTGAGATCAATTCCTTGCGCTTGCAGGCTGCTGGGAGGTAGCTACAACGGCCTCATCAACCACTACGACCTCAGAAAAGGGCCGTCCCCGTGCATGAAATCCTCGGTGGAGGTGGGGCACTACGACCCAGCCCCTCGGAGCAAGCTGCCGAACACCCCTACAGCCACAAGCCACGCCAGCCGGGGTTTCCCACTCTTGCTCAGGGAAGGTGGGAATGAACCCGGAGGTCCCCTTGAAGGAAACCCTAGGGGACTTCCTGGGGGCCATGCCCATCGCAAGTGATCACGACTTTGTTTCACCAAGCCACATCTGACACGTCTGAGGTCTACGACGTGGTGTGGCTCCAGAGCAAGACGGGCACCGAGTGCAGCTCCGTGAGCTCGGACGGGCGCTTGCTCTTTTGGGACGTGCGGAAGCTCAGCGAGGCGCGAAAACTGGGGAGAGGCGAAGACGGGACCCAGGTGAAGCAAAACGGAGGGGGAGAACCCAGCGCCATCCATGTGAGAGGGGAATCTTGGTGGCAAGATCACCCAGGCTACCAGTGGTGCACCGGTTTATTCGTCCTTCTTTCTTTCTTTCTTTCTTTCTTTCGGAACGGGTTTCCCTTGAAACCACCCTTTGGAGATGATCAATCCACCTTTTTGCAGGGGCTCATTGAATCATTTGGGTAGAGTTTTGGGACCACCAAAAAGAATGGTGGGTGTTTGATTGGCTTTCCGTTGAAGCCGGTCACTCATGGCAATGTGAGAGGGTCAGGGTGCAGGTTAAACGAAAGTGGCGAATGACGCTGCCAGCCCCTTTTGCCCCGTGCCCCCGGTCTCCCTCCGGGATCCCATTGCTGTGGCTCACTCTGCGGGGCATCTCCGGCCGTGTTCCGGGATTCTGGGCTTGCTGGGAGATGCCGCGTCTCCAGATCCGATGGCACAACATCAACAAGCCTCTGGAGTTTGTTTCCAGGAGGCGTCCCATTTCAGAAGGTATCCCCCCCATACTCTGCAGGGTGAGCTTTTTCAAGGGTGGCTGTATGCCTGTTTTCATCTGATCCACTGGCGGTAGGTTCTAGATGAGTGCGTTCTGAATGATGGCAACAAGGAGCACCCGAAGACGTTGGGCGCCTCTGCTGGATTTAGCATCGGTTTCAATCCTGAATGCTTGTGCCTGATAGAGGTTTTCCTTGTCCTACTAACCTGTCCCGCTACGGGTTGCGGGTCAGGATTATCTTGCACAACCTTTGCCAAAGTTCCCGCGCGAATCTCTGGGATCCTCGAGGTTTCGGGTTTCGCCTTGTCTCGCGCTTGGGCTGTGCCTGTCTCGCCGCTCGGTTGGCTCGCCCGGAAGCCAACTCAGGCGGCGTGTCGTTGGAGTGGATGCAGGAGGCAGGGCCCACCAAGTTCCTGGTGGGCTCCGAGCACGGTATCATCCTGTCCTGCACCAAGCGCCCCAAGAAGCAGGCAGGAGAGCCATGGAGAACCACGGGCCAGCATTTTGCCCACTTAGCCAGTGTTCTCGGAGCATGCTTTGTGAAGCCTAAGGTGGCATCCAACTGTACATTAGTGGCATACTGTGCAAAACTGATGTGAAGAGCCATGCGCTGCCAGGTGCAATAGGAAATCGAAAGGAGTTGCCTTCTTTTTGTTCTTCCTGGCTGCGCCAGGTGGAAATCGGCACCTGGTTCGGCTCAGAGGATAGGGGCGGCTACGGCAAGCACTTTGGCCCGGTCTACTCTGTGAAGCGAAACCCCTTCCATGTGAAGTTCTTCCTGTCCGTGGGCGACTGGTGCGCCAAGATGTGGATGGAAGAGCTGAAAGGCCAGAGAAAACTCCGAGATGGTCATGAGTGTGTGTTTTTGAAAGGTTTCCGCTCCAGAGTTTGCTCGGTGAGTTTCGAAGTGGGTCCCCGACTGTCTCTGGTTTCTGGCGTATCATTTTTACGTTTTGGAGCATGATCAAATGTCGCCATCATCATCTTCACCGTCATCTTAAACCTCATGCTCAGCCGCAGCCTCACCCTATCCTCATGTTCACTGTCATATGCTCGTTATGTTACTTGTTAGTTACTTAGTTTGTTTGTTTGTTTGTTTGGTTTGCTTTGTCCTGTTGCCTGTTGCCTGTTGCCTGTTGCCTGTTGCTTGTTGTTTGTTGCTTGTTTGCTTGTTGCTTGTTTGCTTGTTGCTTGTTGCTTGGTTGCTTGTTGCTTGGATGCTTGGTTGCTTGGTTGCTTGGTTAGTTGGATGCTTGGTTGGTTGGTTGCTTAGTGCTGCGTGGTGGTGGTGGTGGTTGTGGTGGTGGTGGTGGTGGTGGTGGTATTGGTGGTGGTGGTGGTGGTGGTGGTGGTGGTGGTGGTGGTGGTGGTGTTGTTGGTGTTGGTGTTGGTGTTGGTGTTGTTGTTGTTGTTGTTGTTGTTGTTGTTGTTGTTGTTGTTGTTGTTGTTGTTGTTGTTGTTGTTGTTGTTGTTGTTGTGGTTGTTGTGGTTGTTGTGGTTGTTGTGTTTGTTGTGGTTGTCGTTGTGGTTGTTGTTGTCGTCGTCGTCGTCGTCGTCATCGTGGTCGTTGTCGTTGTCGTTGTCGTTGTCGCTGTCGCTGTCGTTGTCGTTGTCGTTGTCGTTGTCGTTGTCGTTGTCGTTGTTGTTGTTGTTGTTGTTGTTGTTGTTGTTGTTGTTGTTGTTGTTGTTGTTTGTTGTTGTTGTTGTTGTTGTTGTTGTTGTTGTTGTTGTTGTTGTTGTTGTTGTTGTTGTTGTTGTTGTTGTTGGCCAAGGCCCTCTTGGGAACCCCATCAATTTGTGAAAACCTCCTGAGACTCCCCCCCCGCTCCCCCCCCCCCCCCCCCCCCCCCCCCCCCCCCCCCCCCCCCCCCCCCCCCCCCCCCCCCCCCCCCCCCCCCCCCCCCCCCCCCCCCCCCACCCCCCCCCCCCCCCCCCCCCCCCCCCCCCCCCCCCCCCCCCCCCCCCGCCCCCCCCCCCCCCCCCCCCCCCCCCCCCCCCCCCCCCCCCCGGGAAGATTACGTACAATGTGCCGCCGCGCGCCTTCAAGAGCAGAACGGCTCATTGTTGCACATGGACTCTTTTGGTGCAATCCCAAGAGTAGAAAGGAATGTCTTGGCATGCCCCACCATGAAAGAACCAGCTAGTTTGTAGTAATAGAAAAAAGGGTGAGGGGTGATGAAGACCAGATGAACATCCTCTCTTTGGTTGTGAGAGAGTGTGATAAAAGCACACGGTATACCTTCGTGAAGTAGTATTAATAGAAACAAATAATGATGTCCTCCTATCTATCACTTCCATATTTTTTCTAAATTAAACGTTTGCTAGCTCACCAAGATAGAGCATGGAAATGGAAAGAGGAAAATGTTAATCAAATGATTAAAGCCACAGTAACAGATAACAGAGTTAGAGAAGATCGAATGTCAGTGAGGAAGAAGTAAATAGTAAACAAATGCTGGTCAAATAAACATAAAAGGAAAGAACAATCAGAGAGATATAAAAAGGGTCTGGAGACGTAGCCTGTCCGTGAGACGTCACTTAAGCAATAATAACAGTTAAGCGTCTCTTCATTCATCACTCTATTTGGACAGGCAATATTCTGATGAGAAAACTATTAACTTCCTTCGGTCACTTCTAGCGATGAAGGGAGGCAAAAGGAAACCCCTTAAAAAGAGAAGGTGAGAAATAAACCCCAATCGATACAAATTAGTTAACATTACTCATGAGATTCTAGTAAATAAATAGCCTTTCGTAAATAGTGTTCCGTCCTTCTCCAGCAACCTGAACTATTAATATCCTTTTCATTCTCACCTAAAACTCAAGAATATTGCACATATCTAATGATACAATAGGAAGTGAGTGAGAGATTTTGCAAGGAAATTCTAATAGAACAAAAGCAGAAAGAAGATACAACTAAATAAACTCCATGAGTAAAGACCAACAGCCTCTTCAGAGTCAAGCAAACTATCTATGGTTATAATTTGTGTTTATTCTTCATCATGCACTAATATCTTCTCCAATATATTTGTGTAAATGGGATGAAGTGGTCACGGGGTGAATTTAAAGGCAATAATTACAGAATCGTTGTAATCTCATAGCTTTCTGCGTTTTATTATCTTATTGCGTTTTCTATCATATCCATCATTGTCCACTCTAGGTTTTTCACTGTGTTGGAGAGGGTTCTTGATGGACAAGAATAATTTGTCTCCCAATAGACCGTTTCATTTATTAACATTCTTTATTACTTTCATGTTCTTGGTTCTGTCATTTGCCTATTGATTTATTTATTTATGTATCTATTATGTTTCTTCATAGGCCTTTTTCGTAATTCTTACTAATCCTGACAGCCGCGAAAGACGGGAGAGCAGAAGGAGTGTTAGCCAGTTCCTCTTCTTCATATTTGTTATTCCCCCCCGGGTTTTTTTCCCCCATCCAGATGCCTCCAACGTTTACAATGCGAGAGAGAGAAAGAGAGATTGGGAAGATAGATAAACAAGTAGAAAGGTTGCAAAGTGAACAAGTACATGAGAATGCAACCAGCAGATGAGAGACTATGAACCTATTCTTGGTAATGATTAACTTTCTGTTCCAACCATCGTGATTTTCTTTACATCGCCAATTTTTTCAACCTCACACCCAGAAGCATTTCTATACTTCTCAGATAATATTGTAAATGGAAGACAACAAAGATAGACATTCAAGCAATAAATGGGATGGTAAACCGAAAGGCAATGATCTTAATAACGACATGTCCATCCACAAATGTTTCCTGGATGAAGTGGAAGAGATAGAAGGGAAGGATACAAGCTCTTGGGACCACAAACCAACCTCTCTTCCTCCGTGACTTGGACAAGGAAGGACGTCAACGATGAGAAGAACCCAGTCCTTACACCATCCTATGATCTAAAACTCTATTATTGTCCTTTCATTTCCAGAAGATTATTAGCAAAAGAGAGAGACCGCTAGCATTTGCTATTAAAAAGGTTTTAAGGATTCTGTAGTCAAATCTTTATGGGTTGAAGATTTTGGTGGGTGACATACATGGGAAAATCAGGATGCGATCGGAGGAAAAGAAAGAATCACGTTACTTCTGTTCACCCTCTCCTATCTTCTCTTCTTCTTCTTCTTCTTCCCAAGCATCACACGGCATAAGATTAACAGCAGCCTGTGCTTGAGGAAGAAGTCAAGAGAGGCTTCTCACTTCCCATTTTCAATCTTCAATTTAATCAAAAGGAAAGAAAGAAGTGATGGAAAGCCATGGTAAGTGCCCATCCAATTCGGTATCTTCAATTAGTATTGATGGGCGCTTACCTCCTTGCCAGACGCTTTACTTCTTCATTTCCAAAACATGGCAATGTAAAAGACAAGGCAAGGAAAATGACAAGCGTTGGCTGGGCCGGGAAAGGAAAGGTCATCTTCTTCCATCTGTGTTTTTACAGAAAGAAGCGGGTTGTGGAAAGTGGCTTTCTTTTTCTACAAATAAACCAAAAATAAAGCCAATATCCCCTTCCTTCGTCCCACTTTTAGACTGTTCCATCGTGAGTCTTTCGTAGTGACAGAACTCCAGAACGTAGTGGGGAAGGGAAAGGTAAAGATGGAACGGTTGATCTCCTTCCTATCTTCTCCCCACTAGCGATACAGTTGGAGAAGAAGGAACGGGGGGGCTAGCTTCTCCCTCCTTCCTTCACCCCTCGATTTCTGGCATTCTTCAACGGTTGAAAAGGGAAACAGAAGAAGGGGAAGGATGAAAGGTCCAAAAGATAGTAAAACACAAGCAAAATAATATGAGTAAGACCTACTCATAATCTTTTTTCCTTTCGGTGAGCCCCAGCGACGACCGGACAGCCAAAAGCATTCACAAAGAAAGATAGCGCAATGAATCTCAACAAGGGAAGAATAAAATAGAAAAGAACGAGGAATGTAAGTATGGGTTTTAAGATTAGAAGCATGTATTAGCACGCAATAAATTAGATAGCTTCTGTAAGCACCACCCATAATTATCTTTAGCTTTGTCATAACTGTCTCGCGCCCTTTTTATGTTGTTAGCTTGTATAAAACAGGATTTTGAAAAGAAAGGGAGGATATTACGTTTTCTACCGTAATTATTACTGCCTGCAAATGCTTTCGTCACTTCTTGCCCATCCATAAATGCAAATAAAGGATGAGGATGGATGGACAAGAGGAAGCAGGCAATGATTTGGAAGAGGCCCCAAAGACAGGCTGGAAAGGGATAGTGAGGGAATCTTCAATCATCATATCCTCCAAGTCTCACGGACAGGCTATCTGGTGTATTCTGCGTGATGTCTGGGCGGAAGGTTTTCTTAATCATTCTTTGTTCTTTCACACCTTTCCCTTTCCCTTACCTTCATCGATTGGTCTAACCTGGTATGCGATAAAATCTCTGAGATACAAATGAATCCATCCCACAATCCCAGTCGCCTTTCCATGTCTTTCTATTTGTACGGTTTTCTCCATCTCTTTCTCCATCAGGTATGTGTGGTATGAAAGTTATCCAAAAGAAGCGTGTTGCAGAAGATGTCCTCTCTCCTTTACCTATCTTATGTTTATTTCTTTATCCCTGTCTTTTCCATCCTAGTTTATTGAGTTGATTGTAGGAAGAAATGGTCAGGGGAGAGAGTGAAAGATAAAGAAAGGAGTATGAATTCGAGATCCTAAAGAAAAACAAACACATGGAAATAACAGAAAAGAGAGATTCCAAATGAAAAGATAATATGCTTTCCTCCCCATTTCCTTACCAAACTTCAACCGATTCAAAATGAAACAAACTTGACCCAAAAAAAGCCGTTAAGGGAAGGACGGTGATCAAGTT